GACCAGATCAAAAGATATACAAATAGCCAAAAAATCTATGAAAAAATACTCCAATATCATTAGCTATCAGAGAAATGAGAATTAAAACTACAATGAGACAGTATGCTACCCCAGTTAGAACAGCTACTATTTTTTTAAATGCTGGCAAGGATGTGAAGGAAAAGGAACTCTCATGTACTGTTGGTAGAAATGTAAATTATAACCATTGTAGAGAATAGTATAGAAATCTGTCAAAAACTATAAATTGGTCTATCATAGAACCCATCTATACCACTCCTGAATATATATCCAAAGTGAAATCAGTCTACCAGAGATACCTGCCTATTTATTTTATTGGCATTATTCACAAGAGTTAGGACATGGAATCAGCCTAGGGACACACTAACAGAGGACTAGATAAAGAAATGTGGTATGTATACACAATGGAGTGTTATTAAGCCATAAGGAAGAAGAAACCCTCTCATTGTCATGAAATGAATGGAAGTAGAGAACATTATGTTGAGTGAAATAAGTCACACAGAGAAAAAACAAGTACCACATTTTCTGTCATGTGTGAAGGCCAGTAAAATTTGACCTGAATGTGGAACAGTGATGAATTGAGGTTGGGGAGGGCAGCAGAAAGTAAAGAGAAGCTAGATTTGACTAGTGTGTGCTGTAAGCCTATGTTGAAATAGTACACTGAATTGCATTTATCCATAGAATTAATACATCTTAATCAAAAATAAAATTAAGTATATGTTTTCTTGTGTCTAAGACCCTTTAGCATCTTTCTACTATGTTTAGAATTAAAACTCTTACCATGGCCTAAAGGCTCAATTTTATTGGTGGTCTGATGCCTCTCCTTCAGCACTCAAGCCTCTCCCTATAGTCGCCACTACTTCCCAGCACTGAGGGCCTCTCACTTCTCTGCCCATGGAAGACCTTTGTGCATGCTCTTTTCACTTGCTTTCTCAGTTCTTCTGATCTTCCCTAAGAGGAGTTTCCAGATCACCTTATCCAACCACACTCTCCTGTGCTTTAGAGTTTTACTGCACCTTATTCCATTGAGGTCTGTGTATTTGTTTGTTTAGCCATTGCCTGCTCCCCCAAGACACACATGGACACACATACACACAAACAAACACATACACAGAAACATACACACACATAAACACACACATGCACTCCCCTCACCATATCTCTCTCTCTAACACAAACACACACACACACACACACACACACACACACACACACACACCAGATCATTGGACCGTAAGCAGTGGCCATGTCTGTCTTGTTCCTAGGACCCAGTAGAAGAAGTTGAATAAGTATAAATTGACTAGAGGAAGCAATTGAGTCTTCTGCCTCATTTATACTTTTTGACAGAATCATTGTCTTTTGCTTCTTAAAGCTTTTGACTGTACATTTAACAATATGACAGTGACTCAGAAACTCTTGGGTGGAATGAGTTCATGGTGAGGGTATGTCTTCTGGTTTCCAGCTGCCCTTGCTGGTGAAGAGATCCACTGGACTGCTGACAGGGTGTGGGCAGTCTGTCATTTACCAGCAGTATGAGCTAAGACAAGCTGATGCCTCTTTAAGTATCAGTTTTCATCTGTAACATGGAATAATAATAGACCCTAAATCATGGTGTGATTCAGTCCCCAAACCTGGCCAGATTTGGAGACCACCCTGGAACTTTTACTAGGGGCTGAGGCAGAAGGGTCATAAGTTTGCAATCAGCCGGGACTACCTAGTGAGACCATGTCTCATTTAACAAACAAGTGAACAAATGAACAAACAACCCTAGTAACATTCTCAGCCCTGGATACAGTGAATCAGCCTTCCTATGCCACATACTCCATTTTCTCCAGTTCTTTTCCTTTCTTGCTGCTCTCTTAAATATTTAAACATATCTACAATAATGCCTGTTCATTTCATAAAAATGAAAAAAATAGCGTTTTGAGGTATGAGAAAGTACCAGCAATATTCTTTTCATTATAAACTGAGAAAAATATAAATAATGCAGGTTTTGTATACAGGATTTTAATGAAATGCATTACTGTAGACATACCAATTATTTTTCTCACATGACGGTGGCTTTTCAAAACCTTTGCCTTAGTGCCTTCCTTAAGCACAATTTTTAAAATCCTAATATCTCACAGCCAATTTTCAAGGAAAGATAAGAAAATCAGAGTTCAACACGAGTCTATGTATTTACCACTCCTGATGCAAATATCGGAAGATAATTCTTAAAGCCTCTACTTTTAAGTAAAAGCAATAATATCCATTTCACTGGCACTAAAAATGGAAGTAACCACAGATAATATTCCAACCAATTGTTTCGGCTGAAACTTTCAATGCAATATTTAGAATATGAAATCCATAATATTTCTGCACTCAACTGAGAGATGAGGAAAGAGCTACAGAGAGTATCTGCACCATATTCCATATGCACGGCCCAAATGTGTCTTCTTGTGCTGCCTGACTTTTAAAGTAATCCATCCATGCTACAAGATACTGTTTAGGGGGGAAAAGGAAAATCTACAATAACATTTATACCTTACCTAAAGAAAAGACCACAGAATCAATTTACTATTTAGTTATTATTGAAGAAAAGACCTTTCATTTGGTTTATGCTAAATATAGAATTCTGAGCTCCTTAAGCTCTGATCCAACTTTCTGGCTCTTGACCCTATTACTGAACCTAGACCAGAGTCAGGGATCAAGAGATACTTTTAAAATTGATGGACATAAAGACACAGCTGTGACCTTGAATGGTAATGACAGCAGCGGTTTACTAAAGATGTCTGATGAGCCCAAAGTGCTCCAAATTTTGAACCCAGACTTCCAAAAGGGCAGAGGATGATAGAATGAGGATACCCTTGATAAACTATGACTAAAGTTAGAAAGATGCTTTTAGAAGCACCATCAGATTAGCTGTCAGAACATCTGAGTTCCTGTATGAGTAGTCCACAAATGAGCTGTGTAACTCTGTACCAGTTGCTTAATTTCTCCATCTTGATTTTCTCAATAGATAAAGTTTAATTAAGCCCATCAAACACCCTGTGAGTTCCAACAGTTCATACACAGGCTGATTTAAAATTGAAGGAATTTAAAGCTTCTGCAATCACATTGAAGCCTACCTTTTCCAATTAGGTTTCCTAAAATTCCTCAGCTCCCACCAGGCTGTCTTTTGTCTGGTATTCTAGCATCTTCCCCTTTAACCTCCTGCTGAGATTTTCCACTGCTTTTCTTACCTAATTCTTAACTATCCCCTGAGACCCAGACATGGGCCCATCAGCTTGAAGCCCCTGGATCATACATGCTAGGGTTTGCAGGTGGATGAGCCCCTCAAGGCAGAGCACATCTGATGCTGCTGGATGCTGTTTCTCCTCTCAGCATACTCTGTGGAGCTCAGCATGGAGTAAAGTGAGCATCGTGGCTCCCGAACCTCCTGCTCCCTCAGAATTCATGTGTTCATTTAACTCAATCTAAAATCCCAAGATTACAGAGAAATGAAAAAGTTTGAAAGGCCGTCTGGCAAGTAGACACCAATTGGGCAGAAGCATGTGTCTCCTTTCTGGTACTCATTTTGAGCATGCCTAAGGGCCTTGATTTGTTTAGGGTCAGCCTTCTTAAACCTTTTCCACTTATAACCTTTTTCACCTGAGAAATGCTTTTGTTGCTCTGGGTATAAAGTAGGTATACAAATCAAACTGATTTGACTATTAACTGATAAATCATAAAGAACTTTATTTTAAAACAATTCTTTGGCACACCTGTATTTTTCTTACTATTTATTGAAGATGAAAGCAAGTTTGCATACTAAATGAGATAGGTATGCTTATTTATTTTTATATAAGGAATTAAATCTTGGCTGAATATTTGTTACTGCAGGATAGACTGTCTTCAACATTTTTCAGAAGTGATCGGTCTTTTATTCTGTAACCATCTGTCCTGACAATGCCACTTCACATACATACACAGTACAAAATGGAAGAAGTACATTTCAGGGACATTTCAGAAATTATTGGAAATCCTGCCCTAATCTTGGGACAAAATTCACTCATTTAACAATTTTTTATGAAACTCATCACCAACTCAGAAATTTTAAAAAAATCAAACATTCTAACATAATACAATCCAAAGATAGATCAATTTGACACAGGCTGAAGAGTGACAATAGGAATATAGTAAAAGTCTGTTTTCAATAATTAAACTATTATGTTTTAAAGAGTAGGAAATTTTGTGTAGTGAAAACACCACAACTCATGATATACAGTAGTTTCAAATCTGAGCTGTTCAGGCAGTGTTTGTTGGTGTTATATGGTGTGACGTCATACATAGTATGGAGTGCACATTTTATGTGCTCAGAATTAAGGTTGCAGTGAGATCACATGATGCAGCACAGGTGAGCACTACCACAAACATGGATTCATCATGCATTTGATTTAGAATTAATTTTTTTTTCTTTGTGCATTCAGAAACTTGTTGCTGTTGCCAAATTATTCACAACCTCTGCATAACCCAGTTTATGAAGCTGAAGAGTGAGGAGTATAAGCGATAAACCATGGCGAGGCCTTTCAGCCATCCCGCTTCATGCTCAGCCTCCAAAAAGACAACTGGGGAGTACAAAGAAATGAGAAAATAAACTACTTCACTTTTTTAAAAACATTGAACTTCATTGCCAATATATTTATTTTCTTCAAAGTTATAAAAATGCAGTATCTGCTAAAATAATTTTCAGTCTCATGCATAGCAACTAAGTATAATTGTGCTCTCCATTTTAATTTCTTACACAGAACCAAACTTAATCTACTTTGTTTATAAGATTCAAAATATATTTAATGATTGTGTCCTCCAATAGGAAACCAAAAATATAGTATTGTAACTCCCAGCTCAATGCCACATGAATTCGTTGGATGAATTTGGGGTGCTCTTCTATTACAACACCCAGGGTGCCAGAACAAATATCTTACCCATTCCATGCCTACCCCCAAAAGAAAGAAGACAGGCTCTTTTAGGTTGCAAGTCCTGATCTGGTTTATTTATAAAGCAATAAATATTCAAAGCACAAACATACTGCACGTGTGTAGACAAACTGTACAAAGATTGATAAGAGATGAGGGAGGCGGGTTCAGAGGGTTCCAAGAAGCATAACACTGTCATCCTGAATATAAGGTAGACTAAGAGAGAAGACACCTTAGAAGCATTTGCGGTGAACGATGGATGGGCCCGCCTCGTCATACTCTTGTTTGCTGATCCACATTTGTTGGAAGGTGGACAGAGAGGCCAGGATGGAGCCCCCAATCCAGACAGAGTATTTACGCTCAGGTGGAGCAATAATCTGCAGGAAAAAAAAAAGCTTGCAGTGAGTTCTGAAGTTCCCAGCAACACAGCATGCAATATGTTTGAAATATTCACAGAAAAAAAATCACAGACTAATTATATCACAGACTGATTATAATGTAAGAGACTTTGATGCCATAAAGTAATTTTATTTATTTATTTATTTATTTATTTATTTATTTATTTATTTATGTAGACCAGGCTGGCCCTGAACTCACAGAGATCCACCTGCCTCTGCCTCCCGAGTGCTGGGATTAAAGGCGTGCGCCACCACGCCCAGCTGCCAATCAAGTTTTATAAACTTTCTTCTATTTCACCATTTATCTACTTCTCTGCACTACAGAATAATGTGGGAAGATTTTTAATGCTTGGTGAAAGGCAGCTGAAAAGCCAGGGCCTCTTAAATATTAAGCATATATTTAAAACTATTTTATTATTTTTTACTTTATGTGTATGAGTGTATTACCTGCATGTATGTAAGTGTACCTGTGTCATGGTGTCATGCAATGCCTGTAAAGTTCAGAAAAGGGTGTCAGATCCCCTGGAACTGGAGTTATAGATGGTTGTTAGCCACCATTGGGTGCTGGGAACCAAACTCGGGTCTTCTGCAAGAGCAGTCAGTGCTTTTAGTCATCTCTCCAGTCTTACATAAGTATATTTAACTGTTTCTCTCTCTCTCTCTCTCTCTCTCTCTCTCTCTCTCTCTCTCTTTCTCTCTCTCTCTCAAAACTTTTCTATATTTACTGCTTGAAAGCAGTTCTAAGTTTTCTATGTTGTAAAAAGTGCTAGAAAAGAATCAGGACTAGTGCTAGTAATAAGAGCAAGCTTTATAGGCAATGGGAAGCTAAGATATAGGGGAGGAAGCTGAGAAGGATGTTTGACTTAGAATACCAAGATCTGCCTTTGCCCTCCCACTCACAAATGCTCTTTACCTTAATCTTCATGGTGCTAGGAGCCAGAGCAGTGATTTCCTTTTGCATACGATCAGCAATCCCAGGGTACATAGTGGTGCCTCCGGATAAGACATTATTGGCATACAGGTCCTTGCGGATATCAATGTCACACTTCATGATGCTGTTGTAAGTAGTTTCATGAATGCCAGCAGATTCCATACCTAGAAACAAGTTATGGTGTTGTTTTTAAATATATCACAGGATATTTAGGCTAGGGTAGAGGGAAGAGAACAGAATTCCTCTGTGTTGGTGAGCTGTTACCATTTGTGCCTAAAACATATGTTCCCCCATAAAATACACTACTGGGAACAGATGGAACAGGTGTCTCTTAAAAGTGCTGCTAATCCAGCATAGACTGCCAAGAAACAAAATAACTGTACTCGGCACATATTTGTAATGAACACATCAGGAATATGGATATCTACTTCAAGAAGGATAAGATACACATGTAAGCTAAAATTAACATGCTTTGAGATAGGTCTCACTCTGTACAGATTAGTTTTGAACTCAAGGCAAGCAATCCTCCTGCTTAGCTTCCTGAGCACTGGGATTGAAGGTGTGAACCACCACACCTGACTTACACTTTTAATTTATGGACTAAAATCAGAATTCAGCTTCTTAAAGAAGTCACTGTTTATGAAAGGTATTTGGAGACATTCAAGTGTCCAATTACTCCTATGAGTAGGGTTGTGGTTGCATGTAATGATGAAAAAAGTCCAGCCTGTTGTTAATAGAACTTATTGGAATAAATTAGGCCTCTTAAGTAATCCGGCATGTGCTATTCGGTGACCGCTCAGCTTCACCCTTTGCTGTGAGGTAAGCTCAGTTTGCCATCCTCAACTACAGCCACTAGAGCATAACAAGCTTCTCTTTAATGAATCATCAGGATGGAAGACTGGGATAGCTGACACTCTAGATTTAACTCAAGTGCCCCCCTCATCCTTCTAATTATAATGAATACTACTCTGGGAGAACCCAAATTTTCCAGAGAAGTGGAGCCACAATACCAGAACCTGCAACTTACCAATGAAGGAGGGCTGGAAAAGCGTCTCCGGACAGCGGAAGCGTTCGTTGCCAATAGTGATGACCTGACCATCAGGCAGTTCATAACTCTTCTCCAGAGAGGAGGAAGAGGCAGCAGTAGCCATCTCATTCTCAAAGTCCAGGGCAACATAACACAGTTTCTCTTTAATGTCACGGACAATTTCACGTTCAGCTGCAGAGATAAAGGGTTTAACAGTAAAGTTCTGAAGAAAGAAGTCAATTGCAGGGAAGTAGGTAGATCTACAATGAAACAAGAAAAGCAGACAAATCACACCACACACACAGACACACAGACACACAGACACACACACACACACACACACACACACACACACACACATACACACACACACTCACCAGTGGTAACAAAGGAGTAGCCACGTTCAGTGAGGATCTTCATGAGGTAGTCAGTGAGATCCCGACCAGCCAGATCCAGACGCATGATGGCATGGGGCAAGGCATAGCCCTCATAGATGGGGACGTTGTGAGTTACACCATCCCCAGAGTCCAGAACAATGCCTGTTAGAGGAAATAAAAGAGAATGAGGTGAAGCCCTGGGGACCACTGCTTCAGCCATAGTAAAACCTGCTTCTGGCCTTGGCTGGGAGAAACATGACTGGGCAAAGTTCCAGATAATATCAAATCCCTGACATACAAAGAATAAAAATGACCATAATGGATGAATACTACATCTGAAGGCAACACAGCTCATCCTATTAAATACTGTAGTAGATAAATTACCTGAAGACACTTTTAAATGGCTGTCCCTTTTACCAGTCATTAGCACATTATATAAACATCCAAGCATGCTTTTCTTTGGGCCGATGTAACTTAGACTGTCTGTTTCTGTCTGTTTTGAGTCAGACACTGTAGGGAATGTGTTTTTGGATATGCTTTCCCAGGGCCTATGATAGTATAAATATATACCAGTGTCTGATATATATCACACATCTTAAATAAGGGAACCCTCTAACCCCACAAGCTACCAGCTCTTATAACAAAAGTGCCCTGAAACTAACCTCAGGAACTATTGTTACTTCTTTCTCTTAACACAGATACCTTGCTAGGGAGGGTGAGAGAGGGGACTCTTCCTTGTCAGATGAAAAATTGGGTTCACAGCAAGATCAGTGAGTTGAGACTATGATTAATCAGTGACTGTCCCTATTAGCCCAAGGATACCTGTGGTTCTGCCAGAAGCATACAGAGACAGCACTGCTTGGATGGCCACATACATGGCAGGGACATTGAAGGTCTCAAACATGATCTGGGTCATCTTTTCACGGTTGGCCTTGGGGTTCAGTGGAGCTTCAGTGAGCAGGGTAGGGTGCTCCTCAGGGGCCACGCGGAGCTCATTGTAGAAGGTGTGGTGCCAGATCTTCTCCATGTCATCCCAGTTGGTGATGATGCCGTGCTCGATGGGGTACTTCAGGGTTAGGATACCTCTCTTGCTCTGGGCTTCATCCCCTACATAGGAATCCTTCTGCCCCATACCCACCATGACTCCCTGTAAGAATGGAATGATGAGACCATCATGTGCCTACCATGTCAGGAATATAGTTCAAGCTTTATTAACTTATATCCAACTCCCCATGTTAAGGAATAACTTAAAAATTACCAGAAATAATAAAAATGGGATTTGCAATTTGGTATGGTGGCTCGTACCTGAAACCCAAGCACTCAGAAGGCTGAAACAGGAGAATTGCCACATTTTAAAAAATATTTTATTATTTTTATTTTATGTGTATGAGTGTGTTGCCTGCACGTATGTGAGTGCACCATGTCATGCAATGCCGCAGAGGTCAGAAGAGGGCTTCGGATTCCCTTGGAACTGGAATTAAGGATGATTTATAGCCACCATGTGGGTGCTGGGAATTGAACCCAGGTCCTCTGCAAGAGCAGTCAGTGCTCTTAACTGCTGAGTCATCTCTCCAACCCAAGAATTACCACAATTTTAAGGCCACCTTGGGCTTATAGAAAATATTAGACTCTCCTGGACTATAACATGAGAGCCTATTACAAACCTCACCTCCAAAAACTAAGATGTGACCCTAATTTATTTGAATCATTTAGAATAAATATTATATTTTATTTTCGCATGGGGATATATTTTTCTATCATTTTGACTACAACTGGAGAGGAAATAATAAAGGCATTTTGCTGCAGAAGGAGAAGCTCATCTTGTTTTGGAAATAGTATAATAGTGTCATTAAATTATTAAGTTCATCACCCATGTCAGCTAGAAACAGATGATTATCTTTTGGAAAAAAGGATGCCTTGTATTACCCTGAAGATACTCATCCAGTGAGCATAGGCTGATATGGGACTATTATTAAGATGAAAATTCAAACTGTTTAGAAGATCCTGGAGTACCCTTCCCTGGCCAACCCTGAGGACTCCCAGCTCTGTTCCCTGGCATCCTGTCTGGCCAGGCAGGTGACAAACCCAGAAAGCCTGGCCTTTCTTTTAATAAGGTGGTATGTCACTATCACCATGGCACTTGCTGCCTCTGTCACGGATGACTTCTAAAAATGTACCACACAGGAAGGAGATCCATTACAGCTCCATGAGCCCTGCAAACTGACTTCGAACAAGAGAGAAGAATGTAGACTGGTTCCTGGTTGGTTCAGAGTAATTACATTACTAGTAGTTAGTTACATTATTTTTAAAAATGAACAGACCAAAAGGGCTTAGGAGAGAGGGGATAAGGAAGAAAGCAAAGCAAGCCTGGGAGAGGAGAGTAGACACTATAATAGATAAAGCCAGCAGGCCACATGTGAGAAGCTGGTGGACCCATCAGCAGGTGTGCCACTGCAGGGCACTTAGGACTTGGCAGGGGGGCCGCTGGCTGTGGCTTGGATTTGAAACGAACTCATAGCCTTGCTTATGTGACCCCAAAGCTCATGAACCAGTTGGGTCAAAAGGCCAACTGATGGCTCGACTGAGGGGACAGAAAGGGATTCAGAGTATGACTGGGGGCTGCCATGGGTGGGAGCAGGTCAAGAGGGACAGAGAGTGTTACCTGGTGGCGTGGGCGACCCACGATGGAGGGGAAGACTGCTCTGGGAGCGTCATCACCAGCAAAGCCGGCCTTCACTAGCCCAGAGCCGTTGTCACACACCAAAGCGGTGGTCTCCTCGTCATCGCACATCTTGGCACAGCTTCTTCGGGGGCTGTAGGTTGAGGGAAAAAGGGTGGCCCACACTCAGTGTCTGCGATGGTGGCCTCCATTGCGGAGAAAGTGACGGAGCAAAATGGGGTTCTGGGGTGCAGAGACTGGGGAGGCTCCTGTAATCTCCTTTATGCTCCTGGCATAAGAAGGTCGGAAGAAGCCTGGGGCGGCGGGGGGGGGCACTCGGGGTGTGGATTAGAGAAGGAGAGAGGAACCCACCCAGGCTCCCTGGCCAAGAGACTTGCCCTCCATCCCAAATGCAAGGAAGTAAAATCCTAATGGTTCTGAGCCCAAGTCGTTCGCCGGCGGTCTGTAGCCCCCTTCACTTTTTTGCCTTTCCAAACAAACTGGGAACCTATTCTCCCACGCTCTCCACACCCCAAGAGGAGGAGAAAGACCAAGGACCCCAAATGCTCTCAGGGTGGGATTTGGTGAGGGCCTGTGCTTCAGGGGTTCGAGATCCAGGACGAACAAGTTAAAAACACGTCAAGAAGTTTGCTTTAAAAAATAGAGAAAAACCAAGTAGTGTGGCCAAAAGATCAGAGAACAGGGCCTTGGCGGCGGGTGGAGAGCCGGGGGCGGAGCGTGGCTGCGACTCACCGTGCGCTGGGTGGCTGGGCTGGGCTGGGCTCGACGCTGGCTGCTGCAGGCGCTGCGCGTCGGTGCCGGCAGCGCGGCTTTATAGCACGGTGATGGACGGGGTCAGTTGGAGCAGCCCCGGGCAAGGGTGGGGGGCCCCCCGATCTGCCACCTTGCCTTATTTGGTCGCCTTAGCACCATCTAGGACCGCTGAGGCCATTCTTGGAGCCAAGGGCAGGGGAGAGGACCAGCCGGGGGGCTCCCAGACCATGTAAGGAAGGGGAGGGGGAAGCCAGAGCAATGGCCAAATAGGGATCTAGGGAGGGACAGGCTGGCGGGGGCGGTGGGGGAAGGTAGGGGATGGCTAAGTGACGCCAACGCGCCCCTTCCCCCTTGCTGGGGTTGGGGAGCTTCCTGGTTGTGCTGGAGGTTTGTTCTTTCCCAGCCCCGCCGGTCTAAGGGACAATAGGCCACACAGGCAAGCTGGAAGGCTTGGCGCCCTGCCCTTGGAGAAGTCCTGACAGCTGGGCTGGGGCAGCCAGGGAGAGGCAGCAGTTTCTCATCTTCCAGTACTGGGAGCCTGAGGAGCACAGTCATGGCAGTCCTCTTGGGTATAACACGCTTGAGTAGCTAGTGGCAAGAGAGGGCACCTGGGCAGGGCACCTTCAGGTCTTATTCAATCTGAGCTGAGGCTATGCTCACCTAGGTAGCAAAGCCAAGATTCACCAGCGTTAGGCCCACCTCATGCTCCCTCCGGGGTTGACAGGAAAGAGGCTGGAAAGGCTTGCTGTAAAGGGCCAACCAAGTCCAACTTAGAGGTCAAGAAGCCCTCATCCATGCTGTAGTGGGTTTGCCCAAACTCAGACTGCAGTCTTTAGGTCAGAAAAGGGTCTCTGTTGCCAAAGTGAATGAAGGCACAGATACCAAAAGCAGCTCAGTCACTTGCTGACAGATAGATGAATGTTCTTTAAATTGGGGACAAAGAATTCCAGATGGAGGCAACACAGGAAAAGGAAATACTCTTGTGGAGATCATAGCAATTTAAACTGTAAGAACTTAACAACCCTCCTTCTCAAAGTGCAGACTGAAGACAAGCAGCATCTTCAAACCAGGATGAGTTAGAAATGCTGTCTCAGACCAGCCCAGAATCAGAGATGGATCCATGGTGCCTACCAACTGCATTTGAAGTGGTAGAAACACAGCTCCCAACAAGTATTGCTGTTTCCTTTGTAGAGAACAGGTTTTGAAGGACCTTGGTACTAAGCGAGGAGTAGGGGAGGGAATAGGGAGGCAGAAGGACGCAGGTCACTCTTTTGCCCCGGGGTGCCCTGTATTCTTGGTTCGTGACTAGTGCTTGTGCTTTTCCTTCAGTTCACACCAGTTAAAAATAGAAAACTGGGCACGGGCATCCCAGCCTAGAGTGGGCTTGGATTGATATGCTGAGGAGGACTGCTGATTAGATACTTGTGGGGCTGGGGAATGCTGAGCCCTCCTCTCAGCACTCCCCAACCATGTTTGGGATGGTCTGGGGAAGGAACGGTGGGTCAGCTGGGCTGTGGAGCCAGGGAAGAGACCTGGCTTGGATCAGGCCCTGCTGCACAGTAGGTGTTTTATGATGAGGATGCCCCTAGACAGGATGCAAAGAGTAGAGCTTCAGAAGCAGAGAAAGGGAGAAAGGACTGGCAGGAGGTTGATCAGGGCTTCAAACCCTGCCTCTATCCCTTAACTACATGCTACACCTTTGGCCTTGGCAAGTCAATTAACCTTTTGAGACTCTATTTCCAATCCCTGAAAAGGGGCATCACAACTGTTTTCTTACAGGAGTTATTTTGTATTGTCCTGATAAGTGACAAATGATATGTCATATGTAGAGAACATAAACTGAACTTAGCCTATTATAATTCTATAACAATAGTTTTGGAGGCAGTAGTAGCTATTTTGAAGAATTATGTGTTCCTTGATTCGGCAAGATTCCATTGCTTATGATTCAAAATTCAGTTATAAATGACACATAGCAGTGGTACTTATGGAAGTCAGAGTAGTTATGGTACATGTTGGGAAGGAAGAGGTGGTCTCACTGAGTCATCAGAAAGGGTGGAGTGTAAAAGAAGATTCAGAGAAAGCCCAGGTTGGCCTCTAACTCACTGTGTAGCAGAAGATGATCTTAAACACCTAATAGTCCAACTTCCCCCTCCCAAGTGCTGAGATTAGAGCCATGGGCCACCATGCCAGGCTTAACTGTTTTTAAAGTAGAGTAGAACCTAAGTTCACGAACATGTGTGTGAGAGATTTGCTGTTTGGCACTGACTGATAAAAGATTACCATGTTTACTTTGTGATGTGTTTAGGCCTTACATGCCTCAGTACTATGAATCCTAGTGAGGAATAAGTAAGTCAGTGGAGGACCAGTTTTGTGAGATAATACTCACCCTTAAAACATTTTAAAACTATGTTTTACATTCCACTCAATGCACTTTAAAATGTTTTATTTATTATTGTTATTTGTGTGATGATGATGATGCGTGTATGGGCATGTTGGGATGCTATGCTATGAGTAAGGAGGTCAGAGAACAACTCTGGAGTTGGTTCACCTCCTTCTACCTTTACCTAGGTTCCAGGGATCAAACTCAGGTCGTCAGGCTTGCACAGTAACTGCTTTTACCTGATGAGCATTCTTATTGGCACTTAATTCATTTTTAATACCTAAAGCAAAGTATATTTTCAAGTATATTGTTTAAAGAAAAAAAAAACTTTCTCTTAAAGGTTTATAGTGAAAACATTCAAAATCTTTTGTTTGAAAGATAGTGCATTATCTGTAGTCACCCTACTGTTCAACAGCATACTGAGACTTTTTACTGCTGCCTGTCACTACTCAGATAATGGATATCTTTTAAATTGGGGACAAAGTATTCCAGGTGAAGGTCGCACTGGAAAAGGAAATGCTCTTGTGGAGATCATAGTAACTTAGACTGTGAGAATTTATCAACCCTCCTTCTCAAAGTGTAGACTGTACATAAGTACTCACTGATCAACCTTTCTCTACCCCTACCTGGACTCTACCCTCTCCAGCCTCTGGTAATAACCATTTACTCTCAACTTCTTTGAGATAAGCTTTTTCAGATTCCCCATATGAGTTTGAGAACATGTGGGCCTAGCCTTTCTGTGTCTGGCTTGCTTCACTTAACGATCTCTAGTTCCATCCATGTTGTTGCAAATGACAGAATTTCATTCTTTTCAAGAAGCACACACACATATCACATTTCTTTGTTCATGGGTTGATGGACACTTTGGTGTTTCTATTTCTTGGCTATAAACATAGGTGTGTGAATGTCTCTTTAGCATACTGATTTCATTGCCTTTGGAAATATATTCCATAGTGGGATTGCTGAATCATATGATAGTTACATTTTTTAATTTTTGAGAAATCTTAGTCACTTTTCTGTTGCTGTAATAGAAACATCATGACCAAGAGAACTTATCAAAGGAAGAGTATAGCTGGGCGTGGTGGTGCACACCTTTAGTCCCACCACTTGGGAGGCAGAGGCAGGTGGATATCTGTGAGTTTGAGCCCAGCCTGGTCCACATAATGAGTTCTAGGCCAGCTGGGGCTATAGAGAGACTCCATCTCAAAAAGACCAAGAGAAAGGAAGAGTTTATTTGAGCTTACCAGGGAAATTAGAGTCTGTCTTGGAGAAGAGGCATGGCAGCAGAGGTGGCTGGAACAGAAAGAGGAGTGCTCACATGCTCAAGCAGGCACAGGAAGCCAAGCATGACTAGAGATCCAGCAAGGCTTATGGGGGACAGTCTCATTCAAACCATCACACTTCATAATTGTTTCCCTTAATGGCCGTACTAATTTACATTCCAACCAACAGTGGGCAACAGTTCCTTTCTCTTTCTTCACATCTTTACCCGTACTTCTCTTTTGGTTTTTTGATAATAACCTGTTCTTACTGCATGAAGGTCTAGCTCACCATGACTTTGATACACATTTCCCTGATCAGATGCGGAGTATTTTGACATGTATCTTCTGGCCACTGGCCTTTTGCATGTCTTCTTCTGAGCAATATCTATATAGATCTTTTGCAATTTCAAATTATTTTTGTTTTATTTATTTAGTAAATTTTACCATTGAGTTATTCTAGTTCCTGTGTGTTTGGTTAGTAATACCTTGGCAGATGTAGAGTTCACAAGCATTTCCTCACTTTCTCTAGGCTGGCTCTTCACTGTAAATTGCTTTATTTGCTATGAGATGCTTTTTAGCTTGTTATAATCCAATTTGCCTGCTTGTGCTTTTATTTCATGTACTGTTGGAGTCTTGTCCTTAAAGATTTATGGTTTTCAATATTTACTGTTGTATTATTGCTCTATTTCCACATTTTAAAGACACTGAAATCTATTTTATGTATTTTAAAATGTAAGTTAATTAAGTCAGTAAGATTTTTTGGTTTCTCATTTAACACAGATTTTCAGATATTTATTTAACTTGAAAATTGAGGTAAGAGAGTGTATGGTTCAATTGTGTTAAGTATATTCACAGTGTCATTCAATCAATCATCTAATTTTCTTTTTTAATGCTAATTGTAATTAAATTAACTTTCAAAGTCAGGAATAAATGTTCTCTGTGGTTGGAGAAGGAATGATTAGTCCTAGGAAGTTGAGACTCTTGTCTGAGGTCACAAAGATGACCAAATGGAGAATTGTAGTGGGGCACCTGAGTTAAGCCTGTTGTTAAACACCAGTCCCCTTGGACTGCTGTTTCTCAATGGAATCATCTGCCCTTGGGCTGCCTAAGAGAAGTTCAAGTTCTGGGGTTCCACCCTGGAAAAGTGCATTTTAAGTGAGTCCTCACCCTGTTCTCCTTTCTACGTTGCCTGGCTGTTCTTCACCCCTACACCTCCAAGCCCCACCCCATCCCTGAGCTTCAGGGGATGTAGCCCAAACTGCTGGTATTGGCCACAGTCCAGCTTGGCTGACCTTGCACGTTCCGGTGGGGCAGCGAAGCCAGGCAGGTTCTCAGGCCTCTGGCCCGAAGACAAGACCCTTCGCCGCACCAACAGGCCATGAGGGAGACGTGCAGCGCAAGCTGAAGGAACAGAAGGCAGGACAGTTCCCACTGCCCTTGCCTCCGGGGAAGCCTGTTTC